GATAGACAGATTGATGACCTGAATTGCAATTTGAGAAGATGAATACACGAGTAAGATAAATGCCGTGGCCTCATTGCGTGGCATCGTTTATCCGTCTACGTCGCATCTGTCCGAGCCATCATTTGTTAAGACCAAAGGACGACCAAAGAATAACTCGACAAAGAGAGACCCTTCTGGATGGCAGTATCATATTGATGAGGAGACAATTAAGTCGTCTTGTGGTTCCAAGGGTCGCCAAACCTCATCTGGTGCAAAGATTCCTAAAACAAAGGTTGAGAGAAACACTGATGGAACGCCTCAATCGAAGATGAAAGGTCGTGGTTCTCGTATTCTCACACAAGAATCTGCTGCCCCTACAATACCTGCACATGAAGGAATCGACTTTTATTCTTTCGTGCCCAGATTTATGGTCCGTCTTATTCAAGATTATGTTAACGTGATGGCGGATGGCAACTGTGGGTACCGGTGCGTTGCTCAAGCCGTGTACGGGGATCAAGAAAGATGGCCGCAAGTGAGAGGGGAGTTGCTTATTGAGTTATACGAGCATGCTAGTGTCTACACGGCGATGTTTGGCAGTACCGGATACGTTGAGGTCATACGCAAGTGTGACTGGACCTCAGGGCCTTGTCCACAAGCTTATTGGATGGACATGAATGAAATGGGATTGGCCATTGCTACCAGATACAGTGCATTAGTGGTACTTTTGACTCAAGTAGGGAGTATGACTTACCTTCCTATGTTTGGCAGTGGTCACTTATCATGTATGATTGTTGTGACATTGCACAACAATCATTTCATGTTTGTTAATTTGGTCGCAAATAGTCCACTACCACCAATCCATCCGGCATGGGTACACCATAGAGCTAAAAACTTGAGGCACTTACTCAAAACGTACAAACCCCGACTACTCTTGTACGAACAATTAAAGTCTGGTCGGTAGTTCAATTTGTAGTTGTATCTGAAATCTAGTTCAATTTTATTCGTATTTGAAATTTAGATCAATTTGTAGTTGTATTTGAATTCTAGTTCAATTTGTAGTTGGATTGGAATTCTAGTTCAATTTGTAGTTGCATTTGAATTCTAGTTCAATTTGTATTTGTATTTGAATTTTTAGGTCAATTTTGTATTTGAAATTTAGATCAATTTGTAGTTGTATTTGAATTCTAGTTCAATTTGTAGTTGTATTTGAATTTTTGTGTCAATTTTGTATTTGAAATTTAGATCAATTTGTAGTTGTATTTGAATTCTAGTTCAATTTGTATTTGTATTTGAATTTTTATGTCAATTTGAGTGTCTGAAATAAATTGGTTAGTTAAAAAATAAATCAATTAGTTATTTCGTACTGAATTTTCCGAAATGTCACTTCATATTTCGTGGAAAAATCTACGAAATATGGTCTTCCATTTCGTAGAAAACTCCACGAAATATGGTCTTCCATTTCGTGTACGTTTACACGAAATACACGATTTTTTTTAATCTAACAGTTTCGTCCTTCGTGTTCTATAACAATAAACACCGCTATTTCGTGTGAAAAGACACGAAATTATTGAGTGTATTTCGTGTAATAATACACGAAATAGCGGGCGAATTTGGTTTTTTTTTTGGAAAGTTACAAATGAAATAAATCGCACTGCAAGCCGGTAAAAACCGCACTATGAATAGCATTTCAGTTAAACAAATAAAGAGGGATATTGGAATTGGCTATCAGCAATAGTATCTCTCCTCTCTGAATTCTAAACCCCGCTCTCTCTCTCTACACCTCTTTACTTTTCCTCCGCCGTCCGCCGTCCGCCATGGGCGACCGCCGTGATCGTGACCGTGACCGTGACCGTGGGGACCGCGACCGCGATAGAGACCGTGACCGGAAGAGAATCCGTGAAGAGCGTGACCTTGACCGCAGCAAACGCTCCCGTTCCCGTACACCCGACCGCACCCGAACCCGCCACACCCGATCTCGCACCCGTTCCCCCGATGACAGAGACCGCCACCGCCACCGCCACCACCGCTCCCGCTCCCGCTCCCGCTCAGTCGCCTCTCCTCCCAGGAAGCGCCACAAGGACGACGACGACGTTTCCAGAGAAAAGGACAAGCGCAAGGACGACGCCGTTTCCAAGGACAAGATGAAGAAGAAGAAGGAGAATTCCGTCACTAAGGAGGAGGGAATCGTCGACGGCGAGATGATGGACGACGACGAGATGGAGATGATGAAGAAATTCGGGATTCCGGTGGGGTTCGACACCACCAAGGGAAAACCGGTCGCCGGAAACGACGTCGGCGCTGTGAGGAAGGTCACGAAGCGGCAACCGCGGCAGTACATGAACCGCCGTGGGGGTTTCAATCGCCCCTTGCCTGCCGAAGTCAATCGTTAATTGAGGAGAGGGATTTTCCATTGCCCCCCCAGGTTAGGGTTTGTTTTTTAGGGCTTCAGAATTTTAATTAGCTAGAGATTATTACTTTGCTTACACTCGTTTTAGGCGTAGAATTGTTTCCTTATTTTTACGAATTAAGAGGAAATGCAATCACATTCCAGTAAAATCGAACCAACTTCGAGTCTCGTCAAAAGGTATTGCTTATGTTTGTGCTGCTTCTGATTACCAATGATGTTAATTAGGAATACTTGATTGTAATTGTTTCTTGTAAGTAGAATACGAGGATATTCCCGTTCTCTATTTACTCACTGAATCACTTGTTTGGAAGAGTATTCGACTTTGTCATTGTTAAGAATGTTTCACTTCGTTTAGTAAACGAGACTCGGCAAAAGTTTTGCTCTGTATCGTCTGATAGATTTCTATGTTTTAACTAAGTAGTGAGCCTAGTTAACTATAGGTGGAACCAAGAAGCAAGAATCAGAGGATTAGGACCTTCGTAATGAAAGGAAACGTCAAATCAGATGTTTCATTTTCTTCGTAGCCTGTGTGTTTTAGAACTTATGATTTATTCCACTAAATATTATCTCAATTACAAGACGAATTACAAGAATCCCACTTGTCATATAATTCAACTGAGTAAGAGGTGAAATTATGTTCATTAACAATTTTCATTATGGGCAACCCTTTCTTTCTTGTTCTTCATAATGCTTTAAAAGAGTTCACTCTTGAACAATCTTTTAAATCATAGAATTTCGGTCTTAATGCAGATGGAAGTTGTTCATGCCATGCCATTCATTAAAGACGAAGATTGCCTTTGCCCTTTTGGTTTAGATGATTTGGGACAAACTGGACACGATGTAAGACCTCGTATTTGGTAGTAAGATTGAAAATGTTGTCTAACCAATTTGTCACAATTATTAAATAGCTTGCAGTTTCTATATTCTGTTTTTGTATGGAATGATTACTCGTATTCTTCTGGCTAGCGTTGACTATAATCAACAATGACAATTCTCTATTACTGGACTATTATCTACCCTGTTACTGTTGGTTTTATTTTTCTTAATGCAGAAGCCGCTTGGTTTTTATGCGTAGGTGTTTCTGCTACATCCTCATCCCTTCGTAAAGGTCCGAAATGTGAATTTTTTTAATGAAATCATAACTGTTGTGATATATATCCATACATTTCCCTTGTTCGTAGATGTTTGTCTATGAAAAATTATAGCTTTATCACTTACACGATGGTTCTGCACTTGCTATATTTATTCAATTATCCATTTTGAGTTTTGGCCCATTGTCATGGTTAGTTTGGTAATTAAGAAAGTAGATGTAAGAAATAAATTATCCTTTTAATTGCTAACGAAGGATCTTTCTCGTGCATTAGAGGTTGACTTTGCATACGTAAACTGAAACTGTGTGATTTAATTAGTGATTACTATATTGCTTCGACTGGGTAGTTTGTGCTACTTCCAAGGTGTAATTTTGAGCGATCGAGTATACTTGAAACCTCAATTTTATATTGCATTTGCACAAAAGACGTTGTTGAACTAACGAAAAACATAGAGAGAGATAGAGACAGCTTTGATTAAGAGGCAGTGTTTGGCTTCTGGATGACAAAGGCCATGCACTGCGCCTGCTTTATGTTGTCGAATGCCAAACAGCGAATATAAGCATTTGGATATGCCTTTTTGCACTCTTCGATTTCTTTCAAAACTTGTGATGAATCGTTGCAGCCAAACATGGGCAGCTTCCACAGAGTCCAGTATCTCCCATCGTAGTAATTTGGCATCCTGCTATTTTCCCTGTATACGTATCCCAACTTGAAGAGACGAGACAAAAAAAGAAAAAAAAAAATCAAAAACCTCGCGTTATTCAATATTCCATCTCGTAGATGCTATAATTACTAGAAAACACGGTAATTTTTTTTTTTTTTTTTTTGTGTGTGTTGAAATATGTTATTACCTTGTCGAATTCGAGACAAGGGATCCATCCCTTTTTGATCATGTAATCGATCTCCTTTGCGACGGATTCTTCTGAAAGAGGCGGAAGGTACGAAAGTGTTTCGAATTTCTTGTTGTTTATTGGGTTCCATGTCTGTAAAAAAATAAAAAAAAGAATTCTAACTCTTAGGAAGAACACTCAGCACAATAAACTAGTGAGTGATCGATCATAAGCAACTTTGGTTTTTTTACTAGAGTTGGATTGTTACCTGCATGCAGTAAGTTTTCGAACCGTTGGAAACTGTTTTCTTGCTCCAAGAAACCGATTCATTGTCAGATAGAACATTAGCCCTGTTGGGTTTCAATCCTGTGTAGCTTGGTGCAGCAAAAGAAGCACAGAAGGTTCCAGTTGACATGTTCTTGTTCTTTTTTTTTTTTTTTTTTTTTTTTTTTTTTTTTCGAGGTATATTATAAATTTATATCGAAGTTTAGTAGAGAAGATGAAGTGAGGATGGTATATATATATACATATATATATATTAACCAGGTTAGGTGAAAAAGACAGAAGGAGAAGTATGGGTAATGTGAAGTGAGGTGGGAGGAATTAAGGTTGTCTGAGAGTTTTGTTAGCATTGTTTCCATCGCCACCTGCATTCAATTGTAAATGTTTTTCTTTATTTATTTATTTTTAATTTAAATTTTAAAAATTAGGGCAAATTACGGCCACCCCCTTGAGCGATGGTCAAATTACGAAAACCCCCCTCCTGTTAGGGTAATTACAGCTACCCCCCTCAACTATGTATTTATCTTACGAAAAGACTCCTCCAGAGGTAAATTTAGGGATGTTAATTCAGTAAAATCGGACCAAATTTTCGGTACGCCAACATTTCATACCGTTTACCAAAATAAATATACGATTTGGTTCGGTAAATAACCGAATTACATAAATTTTACGTAAAAATATTTAAAAGGAGGGGGGTGGCTGTAATTATCCAAACAATAGGGGTTTTTTCGTAATTTGACTATACATTAGGGGGTGGCCGTAATTTGCCCTAAAAATTATATAGTGGTAGTTGTGGAAGGTGGTTTTAGCATTTCCTGAATTACAGTTTGGTGTATGATTTTCCACCTGGGAAATTGTTTTGTGAGCCCATAGTTTGATTTTAATTGATTCAGAGTTTGGAGTAAAAGTGATGCAGTTTGGAGTTTGGTTCTGGGAATATAACTACTACCAATACTCATAAATTGTTTTCTCAAAAAAAAAAAAAAAATACTCATAAATTGAGACTCGTTGCAAAAGTAAACACACACTAAAAAAACACATTGTGTGGGAACAAAAACACACACTGCACCAAAACCACAAACTAAAAAACCCAGCGTGGGAGAAAATACATGCACTACACCAAAAAAACACACTAAAAGACAGTTTGTGTAGAGAGAAAAAACACGCACTATATCAAAAATACACACTAGAGAAACAAGAGTGGAGTGAAAAAATGCACACTACACCAAAAGCACATACTAAAAAACAGTGTTGAAGAAGAAACATGCACTACACCAAAAACACACACTAAAGGTGCACTACCCCAAAAAACACAATGGTAAAAGAACACGCACTACACCGAAAACACACAGTGGAAAGACAGACAAACGCACACTACAACGGAAAACATACACTGGAACAAATAACATCATGCGCTACACTGAAAACACAACAAAAAAGAGCACATCACCAAAAACTTACGATAAACATGGTTTTAACATATATGTGTGTGTTCGTGCGTGTGTGTGTGTGATGTTCAAGCCATCTCCACCCTAACCGGAAGAACCACCACAACACCGTCATGGGTAACTACATCGTTGCCGTATTTCACCTAATTATTTGCTAAACCAAGAAAAGAATGTGTAAATTTAACCAAGAAAAGATAGATCCCACAGTGACAACTAACTGGTAATAATGCCATCCCAATAAATAATATTGTTCAACAATCTTCTAAATTCAAAAGAATTAAAAGAAATAAAAAAAAAATAAAACATATCTCAATGCCAAAGCTTCATGCAAAAACCCGAGGCCAAATTCGAACATCTCTTATTCGACACCACATCCGAAAAAGTATCCACAATCTGCCCCGCAAGATTCTCCGGATCTTCAATGAACGTATCAATAAATACCTTGACAATCCTTACAAGCTGAGGTGTCGCTCTCAAACTATACCAAGTCAAAAAATTCCGCCTAAACGAGGTTTCGATATAACCCTCACACTCCAACCTTCGAATCACTTTAACATAGTACTCGAAATCCTTGTCGCCGATCCCGTTATTACAACCCTCGTCTCTCCTCTCTCCTCCGCTCCTCTTCTTCGACGAGCTCCCGGCCTGCGGCTCTTCCTCCTCCTCCTCCTCGGTTGAAATGTCGATAATACCCTTGCGTTTATTTTTCCTTCCACTCCCGTCCTTCGCGCAAGGAGTGAGCTGCAACTCTGTTTTGGATTTACCAAAATGATAAGGGACGCACTCCAAGCCGATAACGGCGCTCGTTTCATTATTGTTGCCGAGTAAATTTACCGTTTTGCCCTTCTGGCTTTGACTCGGAAGATCGGTTTTATTGTCGTTGTTGTTGTTGGTCTCATCTTCGACGGAAGAAGGATTGGAGAGGCTGCTGCAGTTGGTGGCTGGGCTTTGACTTCTTTCGACTTCCGAACTCTTGGAGGGCAGATTTGGGATTTCATCTTCGGACGTTCTTGTTCGGAATTGAAACTCGTGGGGCCCGATCTCTCTGTCTTTGTCGAGGACGATAATGACCTTGAGAACGTAGTCTGTGGCGGGAGTTAGATTCGATAGTGGAAACTTTGTATCCGGTGCGAATAATCTGCAAGTGGGGTCCGCTGGATATTCCACCTCATCAGCTTTTCGATGCCATAATTTATATCCCACATTCGAATCATCGGAATCAAGAACCACATTGAGTGATGAATCTTGCACGTCTTCAAATTTGACGAGTTTCGAGGCAATCACTTTACAATCTACACAATTCAAATCTTGTTAGAGAGAGAAAGAGAACTAGAGAGAGAAAGAGAACTAGAGACACAGAGAGAGAGAGAACCAGAAGGCGTATCAGATACTCTTTCGGTAAGCATCGAATCGAGAGACTCAATGACTGAAGCACAAAGATTCTGAATTTGTGGGCCCGACGAGAGCCTGTTTACTATCCCTCTAGCCATCTTCACGGGCAAACCGGTTAGCGGGCCCAGTTCTTCTTCGAGCAGTTTAACTGCTTCATCAATGTCTTCACACAGATTTTGATAGTGTTTAGTACCCGCAAGAATCTTTTGGCTTAAGGAGAGCCTATAGCACAATATATCTACTCCCCAGGTATTATCGCTCGTAGCCCCAATGTCCGCGTGCACTGCCGTCTGCCAGCTCTTGACTTGGGGAGCTTTT